ATCATAAGGGGTCTCCATTTCTTCTTATTTGGCGTATCAACACGTGCACCTTTCTTGAGAAGTAATTCAGTAATAGCAAGGTAGCCATGTTCACAGGCGATGTGAAGAACAGTGTCTCCACTGGGAAGCTGGAAGCCAATGTTGGCTCCAGCTTTCAAAAGGATGTCCACCACATTGGTGTTGCCACGGGAGACAGCGAACGCAAGGGGTGTCTTGCCGTCTGCACTTGTCACTTCCAGATTAGCGCCATGTTCAACCAGTAAGCTTACCACTTCAGTGTGGCCAGTCATAGCTGCATATACAAGCGCAGATTTACCCCGCGGATCTTGGACGTTAATATCGGCCCCTCTCACGAGGAGATCTTGAACAGCTTTTAATTTTCCGCAGCGACAGGCCGCTAACAACGCATATCCGGTCGAAATGAGCTCACGACCCGCCTCGTTGACTGGTGTCTCTCGTACCGCAAGGTCGGTCTCAGTGGATGCCATCTTCTTAGCTCTGATGCGGGGCGGCTCCGTGACAACCTGATACGCGAATCTTTTATCGTTGCTGTGGGTAGTGGAATCCACAATGTGGATACTGGAATCCATGAATTAGATGCTTTGGATATTATACAGTATAGTATCAAAAGTCAGAATATAACGTATAATGTATACTGTATCCATGTTTGTGGGGTACGTTAGTTCCATCGCAACCGTTATTGAGGGTACACTTTGATTACACTTTGCGACACCGAAAATCGGTCATTCCGACTTCTACATCAACCGGCCATTTGAGCCTCGCCGCTCCTGGGCTCTGCTGTCTCCAGCCTCGCGCCTCATAAGCACAGTCTGCAACAGCGCCGCCTAGCTGTCTCTCTCTCTCTCTCCACTCCAAGGTATCGACGGCGCTGTTCAAGTGTAACCCCACCAAAAATGCCGATGACATTGACGATGAAGCAGAGAAAGACGTTCATTGTACGTATCATTCTCTTCAAGTGTCAGGACATAGCGGCCGCAGATCTGGACATGCTTGGTGGCAAGAGCGACCCGTACGTGGTGTTCACGCTTGTTGGACAGCACGGTTCTTACCCGAAGGCGGCGAGCTGTCGACCAGAGATACTGATCACATCAATCTGTTCAGTGAACAGATTGATGTGACAGCACAAATAAAGACTTACATTTATTATTGTAAATGTAAGTACTAGGGTAAGACAGATCCTAAGAGTACTGGGATACAGTGCACCGGCAGACAGAGGCTGTCTGCCAACCAAACAAGAGTGCGATGAGGATTCGAGGGAGATGCTGTCCGAGGACGAGCTCACTTCTTCTTCTGCCTCAGACTGAGCACAAGTCTATAGAATAGGTAGTTAAGAGTAAAGTTAAATAAACTGTATCGAGAGCTACTCTACAGAGTTCAATTCATCATTTCAAATAAGATAAGGAAGCCCACTGAGTCCAACATGAGCAGGCTGTAGTTCCAAGGGAATAAGGCGCATTTTCGCTGGCTGGAAGGACAAGTTTGTGGATCATCTAGCTGCCAAGAGCGACGACATCGCGATGTTTGAGCTCCAGCATAATCGTGAGAAGCCTCTCACCCGTTACGAGGATTTGCTCAAATTCCAGTTGACAATCCCG